AAAAAAAAAAAAAAAAATCATGGAAAAAAATTATAATTTCTAAAACAATAATTTATAGGTCTAGATCCAGAAAAAAAAATCATGAAAAAAATTATAATTTCTAAAATAGATAACAGAGATTGAAAAGGAAACAAAAACATAGTTACATCAAGAAATCATAAAAAAAGAATATCATATGTAAAAAAGGATTCGATTTATTGCTAACTCATTAGATTGTGTTAGAAAGAAACATGTATACCATACATTTTAATTAATTATATATATGTATATATACATATATATTCATTGACAGTTGATGTATATAGAATGATAAACAAATATACACCCACCAGAATCAGTTTAAGAATTGTAAAAAAATTGGTATAAAACATGTTATTTTGCACTTATACAACCAATTAGAAACCAAAAACCAACTTAGTGAAACTTCAAATTAACCATGTCACAACCAAATCTCATATCTCTGTGAATTCGTTCAAAGAAACAACCACACACTAATCACCATTTCAAAAACCTCAAACCATCACTCACAACCATTGTTTAACAACCCACGAATATCATAAAAATCGAACAAGGCACCTCAGCCTGGAATCAGCATCACAACTGAAAAACGCCGATCTACTCCCAATCACTATTCAGTCTGCAACTCGTAACTCCCTTTGCTCATCCATGACGTTCAACCCGAAAGATCGACGCCTCGCCTGCTCCTTGGCGATCGGGCCAAGAACACCAGTCATACCCTATCGCCCCTTCACTAGCTGTTGCGCCTAATCCTTGAGTCGCTAACCGATCTGGCCGCCTGTATCCGCCAATTTCACCGACAAGAATTAGGGTCTGATTGGCCTTAAGCACCTGCAGAAACTCCTCCTTATGGGGCCACACGAGGAGACCCTTTCCTCTTCCTCTCTGATCCGATCTACCTCAGATTACAATGCCGCCGGAGCTTTATTTTGTGAAGAATCCGATGACGGTGGGCAGATTATGAGTGACGCGCAACGAGAAATCTAAGAAAGATAAACTGGTAAAGGGGGTGCCTGTGGAGATAAATAAAATGAGGGAAGATGTTGATGGATCATGGATGTCGAAAGGGAACAACTTCTCTAATTTGTAACCGTCAGTTAAAAAATCACGTACAAAAGTAAAAACATTTGTATAAGATGGGTCTAAGATACATGAGTGATTGGAACTAGGGCAAGTGGGAGATTGTTAGAGTAGTATACCCAGCGTTCCAATCGGATTGGACGTATTCTAATTGTAAATACGATCTATTGGAATTATATTGTAAATAAGGCATTACTTTATCTTAAGAGTAAGCATTTATCTTATATTTGCACTTAAGATAAAATCCCTAGATCACTTATGGCTATAAGGTATGGTTGCGCATAGAGATGGTGATCATGGAACATACCTTGAAAGCCGTGATCTTAAATACAGTTCCAAGTCGATGGATGTTTCGAGATGGGATATCGAATAATCCATAAAAGACTTGCACATAGTTTGTACGCTTGTTGGACAAGAATGTTGCATTCCATCAACATTAGCGTAAGACGTAAGTACATTTATGTGGGTGCTTGTTAGAGAACAAGTTCACTGAACATGACCGTATGAAAATTCTTAATGAAGAATTTATTCAGTCGAATAAGAATTTTCATGTTACAATAGTACATGACTAATCCTAAGACTTGAGGCACAATGGTAACTTTGTGCATATTACATTCTACTTTGATTTATCCTTTTGGTAGCTAGCACTATCGTTTAAAGGGATAAGTTGGGTATTATGTTAATATGTATGGAAGTTTGTTAGTGGCCAATAAAGGATTCGACACTTATGAAGATAAGTGAATTTCCTATGTGTTTCATAGTTATTAATCCAAAGTCCTTGGCCAAGGCAGAGATGAATAGTGATTCATAACCGGGTTAATAAACATGAAATAGAATCATAGTTATTAAGTCAATTTGGGTTTCGACAAAATCATACCCAAGACTTAATCGGGAAATTAGATGTCGAAAGGATTTTACATGTATGGAGTTGTAATCGGAATAGGTTTACTCGCTATTCACTTAATACTAGATTCATGCTACTTGCTAGGTGTTACCATGATATGTGGGTTCATAAATTAAAGGGTTAATTCATGAATAAGAGTTAATAAGATTTAACTCAAATTACAAAGTGTTGTAAACCCACTACTAGTATTAAGGTGAACCTAAAAGGTCACACTAATTATGAACAAAGGTAAAGATTGTATTTCTAATGGTTAGAATTAATTGATAAATATCTAATTTGATTAGATATCAATTAAAGGAATATATTAATCAATAAGATTGATTAATTACATTTTGGATATTACTTTAGTAATTAAGGTAATTACTAAATTAATAAAGTTGAATTTTAAAATAGGATTTTAAATTTCAAAAATCCAAAATAATAATAATATGATTATTATAATATTGGGAAAATGATATAATAATAAAGTCTTGAGAAAGATTCTCAAGATTTATTATCCAATTATTATTTATATCTTTAAATATGATTTAAGGATTAAAATAATAAATATGATTATAATAAAATGGTTGTTGATGGTTGTTTGAACCACTTAACATATCTTATTATTTTCAAAGTCAAAAGTTAGTAAATACTATTTAAATAAAATTTGATTTTATTTAAATATTACTAAATATTGATTATTTTATGCTAAAATGTTTAGTATAAATAGATGTAAATGGTTTACATAAAGGTTAAGCAAATTTGATTTCAAAGAAGTGATTTTGTGAGAAAATCAAAGAGAGAAGAAAGTGTTCTTCATATAATTCAAGAAAGAGTTCTTGAAAATTCCCAAATAAAATTCATAAATATTCCTATACAAGAAAACCGAGACATTCCTACTAGCGAAGGAAGGTAGTCGGAACCGGGATTCATAGGGTGGATACGTTTAGAGGGAAGACACGTGGATTCCTTAAAGCGAGTAACCTCAAGCCGTTGAAGTTACAACCGGGAACCGATTCCCTAATCCATCATCAATTGTGAAGGAGTTCAAGATATTCGGTAAATATTTTATTAGTATTTACTTTATTATAACAAATCAAAATTTGTATATGATGCATGTTTTAAAGATGACGATCAGTTAATTCGCAATTAGTATGTACGGGTGTAGTATTTATACGATAAATACTTAATTTAAAATTTTAAATTCCGCTGCGTACAGCCCGTACGGTACTAGCGAACCCAACAATGCCGGCGTCACATGTAATCTACAAGGAAAAAAAATGCATTAACATTAAAAAACGGAGAGTAAAGTAACTTGTTCTCTTTTGAAACCCATATGTGACATTCGACATCGTGTGCAGCAAGACCTATACTCATTCAACTACAATTATCTTACCCTCACAAATTCCTCGTCTGCGAGAAAGGTCGACGTGCGGCCATGGTTGCAAATGAGAGAAATTTTCTACTATAGTGTACAATATTAGGTTTCCTTTATGATTGTGTGCGTGTTAGGTGTAGTGGCAAGCTGGTAATATTTTGTACATGAAAGGGTGTAATAGTCTGAAATTTAGAAAAACAAGGACAGAAAGGTAAAAGCATAAAATAATTACTGTTAGGACTCTAAGTATCGGGTGAAAAATTCACGACCAAAAAATCCTGCATATGGGCGACAAATGCAATAATGATCATGGGCCGAGGCAATTTTTTCGGGCCTCAATCTCATGCATCAAACGTCCGACAAGGGAAAGATAATGGGCCAATCTCATCCAATCTAGGCTATCAAATGTGCTCTAAGCAGACACCTCAGGAAATAAAAGACGCCACGCAGAGAAAGGAACGCGGAAATAGAGAAAAAGTCACGCAGACGCACGAGAAAAGAGATACGCAAGGAAGCCAATCAATTGCGGAGGGAAGCCGCACCCGCACACGAGGGAGATAATTAATCTCTCTCTTTTATCTATTTTTTTCTTTTTATTTTTTATGTTAGAGTAGTTTTTATTTCTAGTTCTGGGGATGTCGAACCCTACGTACTAGACGATGTTTGATTAATTTACGTGGTTGATTATTGAGTTATCTTTTTAGAATTGTTTGTGTTATTTTGAATAACTAACTATGATGTGTTGAGTTTTATTTAGATTGATCACCTAGATTAGGCTTTTCATATCTAAAGCTGAATTAGACCTTCAATCCGTAATTGTTGTTGTGTTTAATTCATAAGAGGCTACCAGAAGAAGGTAACTACCGGGGATAACACAGCCTATTTAAGTGAACGAACGCGGTTGAGTTCACTACTTAGTCTAGCCTATTTTTCTAATTCGTAAAGCAGCTAATTGTATTAAATCTTGAAAACGTTTTTCTGGACTGTACAAGAAGTCAGGTTTAATCGTAGAGCGTCTCGCGGTTAAATTAAAAATAAGAAAAAATTCAGGTAACAGACCGTGTTGTTACATAGGGCTAGTAATTCCATAAGATAGCGAGATTTGATACCAAAGTTGATTAGACGAGTCAGTCGATGGTGTAGACGGAACCGTGAACTAGAAAGTTCTCTTCATTTATTTAATTTTATTTTTATTTTATTTGTTTAGATCTTATTTATTTATTAAAAATTTAGTTAGTTTAGTTATTAAATCCAAAACCCCTTATCTTTTATTGCTTTTTATAAATTCAGTTAATACGAGAATATCACAATTTGATTGACACTCCTCGTGGGATCGACCCTTACTTGCCGCTACTGCTAGTTAGTAGAGGTTAGTCGAGGAAAAATATAAATTATAATTATTCCGCGTTGCGACGCGCGGTCAATTTGTATGTAATAAGTACGACATAAAAAATTTTGAGTACTTTTTTACTTTATATTGCCCTGGCTGATAAAAATTCCCGTATCCACCGCTGCATGCGGTTGGTGTTGGAGTATACTGTAAAAACTCGACTTTGTGTTACTTTCAATTCGATTCAAAATAATGTTTGTGTTTTTAGTCAAGTGAATGTTCGTAGTTTATTTATGTATGCGAACATAGTTCCTTTATTTTACATTGTAAGCAATATGGTTCGATGTGTCGAACAAAAATATGATATTAGGTCCCTTGTAAAATATAAAATTTGTTCACAGCCCAGACAGAATTGAACTAATTATCATCAAAGCCTGTAGTGTGATTTTGAATTAGTTGGTCTTTCACTAATGAATTATACTATTACATCTCAGATGTGTTATTGCGTTCTCTTAAACCCACAAGAAAATAGAAATAGGCATATACCTTCGGTACTTATTTATTTGATTTTGCCAAGGGTGAGACCTATTCTGGTAGGTCGACAGACTCCGTACTTTGGTAAATAATGCCAAGTGTATGATGTGCCATAGAAATTGTTTGTGGTCACTGTGGCCTGCTAGGTTGATGACGTCCCTGAAATAAGCTAAAGAAGAATTATTATGCCACGCTCGATCGACAGATTAATGTCTGACATAATAATAAAGAATTGAGTAGTATCAATTTTAGATCAAGAAGTTGATAAATTATATTGTCGGTAATTACATTAATCAACGGACGTTAAATCTTAAATTTGATGATACGAGGCAGGTGGGTAACTGTTGTTTTTTCTATCTTGGAAACCCCCTATTTGCCAATAGAAATGTTGGCCTACTTCGACCCAATGCCAAATAGCTGCCAATTAATCAACTTCTTGATCTTAAATTTGAGAAGGTAAATCGAGCAATTAACCAAGAGACAAATTATTTGTAATTTGCAGGCTAACTAGGGAGCTCAATAGTATTTTATAATGGTATCTAATATTATTCTATTATATGTGGAGTGGGCTAGGCCAAAGTTGGATGCAGAATTGGAGAGCTCATATTTAGCCCCCTCTTAGGATCCTTGTTGTAGACTATAAATACCCAAAGTTACTTAACCTAAAAATCATAGTTCTCCACGCATAGAAACACGAAATCTCTCGTTGAGAATTCAACCAAAAATCGAGAGGTCAAAAGGAGAAAAAAATTGTGAGAGTTTTAGCCTCACTATATATATTCAAAAGGAGAGACGAAATGGATCAGGTGATCGGTTTGTTTCGAATCTCGACGAATATATATATATATATATATAGGGATTGCTTCCAATGCATCCCATTATTTAAAGTGAGGACGTGAGACTCATTCCTAGCCACAAGATTTTGATCTTGATTTAAATAATAATTCTTTATTTTTATTATTTAATTCTTTATTTTTAATTATTTAAATATTATTATGACCATTGACCGTTGACTCCTACATTGACCGTTGACTTTTGGCGTTGACTTCCGGCGAAAATCGTTGACTTCCGATGATGACCCGTTGACTTCCGACGTTGACCGTTGACCATTTGTCTTTTGTTATGTTATTTCTTTCTTGCTAGGTTAGTTGTGTTTTGTTGCTAGGTTAGTTGTTTGTTGTTGCTAGGTTATTTGTAGCTGCTAGGTTAGTTGAGTTTTGTTGCTAGATTAGTTATCTTAAGTTGTTAGGTTATTTTTTTCTTGCTGCTAGGTTAGTTATCTTTTGTTGCTAGGTTAGTTCTTTCTTGCTGCTAGGTTAGTTGTCTGATGTTGCCAGGTTAGTTGTCCGATGCTGCTAGGTTAGTTGTCTTTTGTTGCTAGAATATTTCTTTCTTGCTGCTAGGTTAGTTCTTTCTTGCTGCTAGGTTTGTTGTCTTTTGTTGCTAGATTAGTTCTTTCTTGCTGCTAGGTTAGTTGTCTTTTGTTGCTAGGTTATTTCTTTCTCGCTGCTAGGTTAGTTGTCTTTTGTTGCTAGGTTATTTCTTTCTTGCTGCTAGGTTAGTT